TCTTGATAATGTTTTATATTTGGAATATGTCAAATTCAAAACCCACTGCTACTCACTCAAGCGATTACGAAGGCATGCGCTGCACGATTCTGTAATTATTCGACGTAACGAGTCACACAACTAGTGTAAATGTGGTTCGCAACGCGCTTGCTTCAAAAATGAAATCAACTGCTTAATTTTATTCTTCTTGTTAGAATTTTGCAAAAGGTTTCCGAAATCACTTGGTCCAGAAGTGTTTGCTGTCGTGGATGAGATATGGCTCGTTCGAAGCAAAAGAAAGTGGAAAACCGTGATTCTGGTGAAATCAATGATGCAGCTGGAAAAGTAACCGAGAAATCAGCAACGAAACCACTAAGTGAGCAGCGAAAATCACGTCTTAAAAACAATGTGACGGTAATTGTTTTCACTTAATATTTTTTAATTACTGATGGTTGTGTTTCATGAAATGAATTTTTATTTGTTCGTATTGTTCCGAGTAATTTAAAATTGATAATAGTTGTTCATGAAGAGGGAATGCTGTTATCTTGACTTATACTCTATGTGTGTTAACGAATCGTATGAGTGTATGTTACATGTTCAGTCCGCCTGAGGAACATCAGAAATTTCCAACCGATTCTACTCAGTCTGATTTTGTGAATTCATTAATTCCATCGTAGTCCATGCACAATTCATTAGGTACTGACTGTCTAGTTCAAGTCATTCTCAATCGTCTAATTTCAGAAATGTTTTACGTCTGCATTTCAAAGCAAAAATGCCTCAAGTTTACCAAATATCAATCGTCAATTCAAGGATGCTTTCATTGAGGTTTGGTTTTTTTCTGATTCGGTTTTATGTCGATCGAATAGAAACATTTGTATATTTTCAAACCAGATTTATGCTCAATTCAATACTCTTCACTTTAAAGCATTGTAGTTCGTATAGGAAGTTGATGAATTAAGGACGAAATAGATGTCTTCTGAGCAGTTTAGATTTTTTGAAAAAATTTCATTTGAAGTTGTCTTCCGTATTTTTGAATACGTGAACGTTTTTAGTACTAAGTGCATCGTAATTGTAGGCATCAAGAAGTGAGGAAGAGTTGAAGTATTTCTTGAAATGTGTCCGATTTGCAATGGAGCTCACTTGTGAGAAGAGTACGGAAAAGGAACGTCGTAGTAACTGTATTCGAGTGGTGGCCTATGTCGCAGTTGTATTGGCAAAAGACGGAAAACTACAGCTGCTCGAAGCACTTGTTAAATTTTGCCAAGAGGTTACTATTTACTGAAGTCTTATTTAACTCATTTAGCACCGATTAAAATGAATCAGTAATTTCCTGTAGAATTCAAGTCTCCCTAAGTGGTCTAATCATTTATGGTAATAATGGTTCTAGTAACCGCAATATGGATAGGAAAATTAATTTACCATGAATATATCAAATCAACTGATCGTGAGATATTTTTGCGGTTCAGGGGCAGACTAAAACATTGGTAGGGAAATTGCTGAAACCTCACTTAAGAGACGTTATGGATGATGGTGATGGCAATGTTATTTGGGAATGAATGAGAGCCAAAGTAACGATTGTTTTATTCAGCTTCACGATGTGACAGTGGTGGCTGCACGAACGCAGATATGTTTTCTGATTGGAATGCTATTCAACGCAGATTTGATCATGAATGAACGGGCGTTTGAAGCGAGGGATTCGTTGCCAATTGATCAATCTGTAATCCCGTCTGATCTTAAGAATTCCCTCTACCAGATTCTACTCCAACGGCGTCTAGACTCGGTGAGAGCATAGTGCTGTATTGTTGCACTAATAGTTGATTTTGGACTCCAACGGACTAATCTGAGCTTACTTTACTTTGTTAGATCTTTAATATCCATAATAATATTGATAAGATTATTGGTTATGATAGTATCAGGCCACTGGAATGACAGTAGAAGGAGTAATTATATCACTGATATTGTATATGATCAGTTTCTGTTTCAAGATTTCTTGTGATTTCAAAGAGATTGTCTTGAACTGTCAGAATGAAAAAAATTGTGCTCATCAATCTGCTTGCATTGAACTATTTGTTGCTTCTAGAGCGCAGCCGTCCGTGTCGAAGTGCTGAAAGGTGTATCGATGATACAGCACGATTGTTTGACTGAAACAAAAGGCGGCCAGTCTAGAGGACCTTTCATTACACCGTTACAAGGTAGCGTTTTCTGTCACAAGTCTATGAAATTGATGCTTGAACTAGTCGGATTATCCGAATGGCTGTGGATAGATTTGATTAAGTTGATGATTAGGAGTAGCAGCTAATCGCCGTTGATCCCATGTTCGGTAATCTGTTGGTTTATCCAATTGATCGTGAGCGTTTTCAGTGTTGCGAAAACATTTCCGTGATGAATCGTCGGATTGTCAATTGGTCGCTGTGCGAACGATCTCACTTGCAGCCAAACCAGAAATTGACCTTATGGTTAGAATTACTTTTGGAATCGTTTCACTTCGATGATTGCTTATATACGTTCATTCTGTTCCTTTTGTTTTCGGTCGTTTGAATTTTGTGTTCTGTTGCGATTCACCGAGTTAATTTTGTGAGCTGTGACTGCAGGTTGAGATGGCGTTAGGCAGCGCAAGTACAAAGGTACGGCGTGCTGCACTCTCAAGGCTAGCCAAAGATGTCGACCTGAAGGCGTTATCAATAGCGCAACGCATGGAACTGTTGAAGTTGATGATGCAATCCAGAGAGCGTAAGTTCAGCTTTTTCATGAGATACCTAATTTCTTTCATCTGAGATTTCGGTCGAGTATCTTGCTGAATTGAATTCTTTTTTGGTAATATACAGTGAGTTTGTAAATGTTGTGTTTTGGAGTCATTTGAGAGGTTTTTTGAGCGGATAATTGAGTGTTTGTGTAATGAATTCATTGAGTGCAGTTCGAATCACATTTTTAGCCTCAATTCATTGTGATGCACTGAATGAGATGTTGAATGAGTGGTTAACCGGTGCGACAGATCGAGAGAGTAATCTGTCAGATGACGACGTGATTGATACAAGTGAATATTGTTTTGCTTCAACAAAATTGTTGCGCTTTTTGGAACCGTTCAACGACGAAAAGGTGAGGGGGATTTCAGTCATAATTCATTGTACGAAGATGGTATTTTTGATGGACGTATAAAGATGCATCAATGAAGATTTTCTGCGAATATAGTGTTGATATCTGATCACAATTGACTGACGGAATCATTTTGGAAATATTTTTTGAAGTGTATGAAATAATGGAATTTGTTTGAGATTATTCAAATCATTCGCTGCTTTGGATAAGGGAATTAAAAGTAAGTTTTAGACAAGTCACGATCTGCTGGTGGTAGCGTTTCGACGATGCCGTGAAAGACTGTTGCTGCAGAACGCAGAAGTGCATGAATTTGTGAAGAAATTCATTGAGAATGCAAACGATACAATGACACATTCGCACAGTTACAATAATTTGCTGAATCGAAAGTTAGTGTTATTAATTTTGAAAAGTTCTCAGAGTTGGTCTCGGTGGGGCGATTTTTGTAGTGTTTAGATTCCGATTTACTCTGCACATATCGTTGAGTTCAGACAAATTTGGTTTTGAATTCGATTCAATTTTGTTTCTGGCAAAACTGAATCTTAAATTTTAGATTGACAACGCTAGAACAGGCAAACGCAATATTCGTATGGCGATGTATGGTAGACTTTTGTGAGCAGGAGACGACGTCAGATGCAGATTGGATCGAATGCCGATATCGCTTATTACCAACGCTTCATACATTCTGTGATTTTGTTACGAAGTATGTTGAATTATTCTTTTCTGGTGGAATGTGGTATAGAGGAGTTTCTTTCTGATCTATCCTCGTAATCCAATCATTCTAATGAATGAATGTAATGATAGTAGCGTTGTATTCGTCATAGGTAACGTCTCATATTGATTTAGACAAGTCATTCTATTAGCAGTAGCGTATTTGGAAATGTGATTATTGAGTTACTTGCAGATTCACGACATTGAAATCATTGTATGATGATGGTGAGGCTGGAGCGGCTTTTAAACAGTTCGCTCTGTTGCAATTGTTGAAATTGCTGTCTTGTTTCGATATGGATGATCCTGTTGGAAAGTTCGTAGAATTGATAGTTCAATTTTTGTTCTGTTTTTTTTTNTTTTTTTTTCTTTCAAATTTCTGAAGAGGGAATGAAGATATTGTTATTGTTATGAATTATTTTAAGGCAAAGTCTGCGAAATTTATCCGAAATGATTTTGACGAATCGTCAGTTGGATGTTTCGAATGAAATTGTGAATACGATTGTGCGTCACATGTACACTTATGTATGGCCAAATCCACAGGACAATGATGTATAAATTTGATTTGTTTACTTTGATTTTTTAGTTGTATTCTTTGTTAAACGCCGAAATTAAAGTAATCTGGCAAATCGCAACGTAATAGATCTTATAAAATAGTGCGAACTCATATACTCGAAATGTTTTGGACGGAGCTTGTACAATCTCTCAGCGTCATTCCATAGATAACCTCTATTGGCCAAGTTGATTTTATGGCTTGCTGGTTGTAATTCTTCGTTTGCGTCTAGGATGCTCTGTCGACAATTTGCGATCTGACAAGTTCAATGGTTCATAAGTCGATCAATCCGAACGCAACGATGTTATTGGTGAACGAGACTATTTCATTGAGTGGACACTTACCAAATGCTGATACGACAATCGCCCACGCCGACAATGAAGTAAGTTACTTGTATCTGAAATCCGATTAATTTAAGCTTGAATCTGGGATTTGTTCCTGGTTGATTTTGATTGAGATATTTCATTGGAGTGCAGAATTTTCTGAGGAAATTTTTAGGTGGACGAAGAAACCCTTCTGAGGTGTATACGAATTGTGAGCGCTGTGTTGAAGACGAATCGCTATCGCGTGATGACGGCTCTTCTTCGAGGCCTTCTTGAAAATTTGGTATGCTTTGTGTTGCTGTCCGGTTTTTTCCGACAATTCTACTTTTTATAAGAGAGATATTGAATTTGTCGTTATCGTTCGATCACGTATTAAAGTCAATAGTCGGCAGTTCTCCATAGGTTTGTCTCACTGTAATCCACAATTCTATCATTTCTATGTACTTGCTTCCTGGTGAATCAGAGATGCTTGTCAGATAAAATTATCTGTCTTTGTGATCTTGGAATCGAGGAATCACTAAGTGATTCTAATAGTGGGATTGAACAAACTACAGAAGAATTATTTTCAACGTGTTTAGATAGAAAAGGGTGTTGTATCAATGAATTCTGAATGTCGTATATTGGCACTGGAATCGATGGGTATTATCGCGATGTATGACGAACGCATTGCTTTTGAAAAAGTGATTCTGATCAAGGATACGCTGGAAGTAGATGACGATCTTAAGGTGTGTTAGACTGCTTCACTTCATTGATGTCAAAGCAACATGACAGTCGCTCGGTGGCAATGATACATACTGATTATGTAACAGAGCTAATCGAGAGAACTAAAATTGAAGTGAAGACCTGCGATTCGAATGAAATTGATTAATTTGGATTGTGTTATGTATTGTGGAAGAGTGTAAGAGTTTATCGTTACAGCCAACCTCACTGAATATTCTGTGCAATATGTGCTTGTTGCATGGCTACGCGAATGTTTCGAAATGGTTTGCTGGGAGTGCGGTGGATTTTTGTGATCCGCGAAATGACTTAATCAAAGTATTTGTCGAGTTCATCAATGATAAGGTAAGGAAGAAGCGTTCATATTTACAAAAATTATAAGCATTAAATGTGTTCCTGAAAAAGCTAACTATATGTTGTATTAGTGGGAGT